GGCAGAGGACGAGGCGTACACTTGACCCTACATCTCTCTTCATCCCTGCAAATCAAGACTTGTTCCCAGACCCACAGCCACAGGGGCCTGGTAATAACAGCCCTTGCTCTTTAGTCAGACACTGTTCTAATGCTTTACAGCTATTAACTCAATCTGATCCTCACATCATCCCTGGGAGGTAGAAAGTTATCCCAGTTTTACACATGGCAAAATTGACACACAAGTCACACAGCTAATGGTGAAGCTGGCGTCTCTGCTCATGTCTACCAGGCCATAGTGTTTGGGCAGGCAGCAGGCCTCTCTCTCAGTAGGCCTATAATGCTTTGCTTTGTTTCCTCGTTACTCTCTGGTACCCAAGTCTACCTTTGCATTTCCTTCTTTGGGCTCTGAGATGAGTTCTTACACCCAGATGGGGTTTTGAGAGTAGCTAGACTAAGAAATTTATCAAATACCAACTCTGTGCCAAGGCCTGTGCTAGCCAGAAAACGGCAGTTTTGGTCCATAAAAAATTGTGACCTTCACTTTTCACTTCTTGGAACATCATCTGTAAAATGGGGGTAATGACTCTCCCTACCAGTGCTGTGAGTCTCAAACAAGCCAAAGGATATGAACTTGCCTTAAAAACCGTAGAGCTGTGCCATGCAAGGATGCATGAGCATCCCTAGCGGAGTCCCTGTCATGCTCATGCTGAGATAATTGATAAGCCTAGCTGCCATCTGACGGTAGCAGGAGCCTCCCTGAATATTCTCAGCAGACGACTGAGCTTCCTTGGGGTCCATTAGTGAGTGATCACTTGTGCTTTCAGATTTGAATTTGTAGAATTTATTGATACAGCAAATTGCTTACAGATATGTTCAGATGACAGCAATTTTCTAATGTGTAGTTTGTTTTTAATAAAATATGAATTTTGTCCCTTTTAACCATGGTCTTCATTGGGAGTTAATGTTGCTTCATGTACACAGCACTGAGGCCTGGATGGGGCCTTGCTCATTTTTCACCTTCACAATTTTCTTGCGGCGGTCAGCTGGCCCCTGATTGAGTGTCTGCAGTGATGGGGACTTCTCCACTTCTAAGATAACCCACTAAGTTCTTGCTTATGTGGAAATAAACCCTGACCCTCAGCCATTCCTATCCCAGATAACGTTATGTAGGTTTTGGCATCTTTGTGACCATCCTTTACCAACGCTGAAGCCATCTTTGGCCCTTACTTGGATTTTTAGAGATTTCAGGGACTGCATCATCTCTTCCATTTCTGCAATTGCAATTTGTCACTGATGTCAGCCTAGTGGAGGAGGCACAGCCTAGCAGAGGGTACACAGAGGTACTCTGCATAGCCAGGGCCTGGTGGACAGGAGTCCAAACTATGAAGAGGGGACAGACAGCCTGCCTAAGAAGCCAAGCTAGATGGGGAGTAAGAGTGGTATGGGGGACCCAGGTCTGAGTCTGCCATGTTCTGCTCAGAAGCCTTCCATGGCTCCTCACTGCCTACAGAACAAAGTCCAAACTCAGCAGCTTTTAAGCCCTTGCTTCCTTCCCGACATCTTTCAAATCCCTTCCTTCATATGGCCATTCCCTGCCAAACCGTCACCTGCTAGTCCTTAAACACTCTGGGCACTTTCCAGTCCTGTGCTCCAAATCCTACGATTCCTCCCGCAGTTACTTCTCAACCTGCAAAGTTGAACTAAAGTGCCACCTCCTCCAAGAGGCCTTCCCTGGCCACACTTCCTCTCCCATCCCCACTCCTATGGCTCCCATGACTCTTGGAAACATCTCAACAATTCACACACATGGGGTACTGTTTGTGGAGGTACCTGCACCCGTTAGGCTGTGAACTCTCTGACAGGGGCCATCTGCGGTCTCACTGAGGGCGCAGCACTGCATCTCCCACCTGGCAGGTACTCAGGGATGTCTTCTAGACCTGAGTTCCCAGATTGAATGGGATAGAGGTATGCCCTGAGGTCAACCCTTCCACCCCCAGGGCAGCCTAGTATGGCATGAAGTGGCCCATACCTCACCCACACATATAAACACAGGCTATCGTACTATGTGCCCTGATGGGAAGCATGTTCTACACAATGGCCCTCCTTCACAATTCTCTCCAACACAGTCCTCTACACAAAAGGCAGTTAAGACCTGTGATCTCAAGCTCTTTCAACTCTGCGTCTCATTGATTCCTACCCTCTGAGGGAAATCCACCTGAGGTTTACAGAGTAGCCTGGGCCCTTCTAACATCTCCATCAGGAGCCAACTGACTGGTTCCCTGCTTGAAACCATCCCACTGCACATTGTCAGCTAGAGCCAGGCCAGGCCCTTCCCTCTCTTTCTTCCAGACCCACATCCTGTTTCCAGGCCCTGGAATGCATCCCTCTATTACCGTATTATTGTCCCTTTTTATTAGGAAGTCTTAGATGTTTGCTTAAATGTCACCTTCTCTGCTGTTGTAGAAAAAAGTCCATGGAATCAGAAATTTTGATCGCCTATTCAAGGTCTGTTTATAGGGAGAAATGAAAGGGAATAAATACCAGCCAGAAAATTGATACTATCACACTTCAGTTTTTAGCACATCAATTTTATGAATTTACTTTTACACAGGAGTACAACCCAGGATCCCAATCCTACCCCACCCACATGAGTGTCTTTCTACTCTTTTGGGATCTATAGGAGAAGGAGGTTCTATACTCACAAGTAAAGAAACGTCAAATGGCTAATTTATGTATTTGAAAAGAGAGTCAAATATATACTTTGAAATAAGAGTTATTAGTAATAAACAAGGCCAAATGTGAACAAAGATTAAGAATTTGTAAAAACACTTGAAAAGAATCATTAATCTCTATTGGTTCAAAAGAACAAAGGGGAATATGACATGGAATCTTTGTGAAAGGTTCATGCTGCTCTTCAAGGAACTAAAACAATCTTTTTTTTTAGCTGGGTTTATAATTTCATTATAGATTATAGAAGGGCTGATTTGCAATACTACCATATGCAGAGTCACTGCAACCTGCAAATACACTGAGCCCCACATTCCCCACCTCCCTTACACAGCTCTATTTTTCCCCCATTGCACATATCACCTTTTAATAACTGTGATTTACTTACTGCGCACATGCCCCCACCTGAGTGGAAGATCCATGAGGAAACAGATTTGGGTTGTGTCCTCAGGACCTGAAGCAGGGCCTGGCACATCTCTGTTCAGAGAAGGAATGAATGCCATTTCCCTCTTTCCTCATGGAGATAAGTGCTTTGGGCATTTCTTTGCCTGCAAGACCCTTTGACCAACCACTTCTCCACTACCAAGTGATCGCCATAGAGCTAACTGCACACAGAGCCCCAGGGTGGGCAGGGAATAGAGCAATGGAGAAAGACAGCAGGAGGTGTGGAAGGGAGATTTGTGGGCAGTAAGAAGGAAGGCTTGTTTAAAGGAGAGGACCCATACAGCCAGAGCTCATCCCTCTTGTACCCATACAACTGGAGGGTGATGATTTAAATGCTTTTAAGCCCACCTCCCCTCCTGGGCCAGCCAACTTGAAGCAGAGATGATTCTATTTGCTCTTTGTATCCCTCCAACAGGCTTGACATGAGCCTGGCCCCAAAAATGTCTGCTGTCTAGGGCTGGGGAGCGGATGAAAGCCAGGTCTGAGGAGACCACCACTCCTGCCCCACCTCACCCAGCCATACCCCACAGCACCAGCAAGGCAATTCAGAATCCAGAGAATAGCACTTTATTTTAAGACTTGATTTTTTTGCCATGATTTTCTACTGATTCTTCTATGATGGTGTCGTCTTCTTCGACAGTGACCAGGACCTTCTTGCCCACCAGACTAAAGATGTCTTCAGGAGGGTAGCCTTTGGGCTCACCCACCTTCACAGTGAGCATGTCCAATGTCAGAATGGTGCCTTCTGGAATTTTCACTTTGGCCACCACAGATTTGCCCAGCTGTGAATAAAATTAAGACTCAGTGTCAGTCTCACAGAAGTAACTAGTCCATGTTGCTTTGCATCCAAGGTCCTTGATCAGTCCTCATGAGGTGCCTTTAGAATAGGGACTCTGTTTTCCCCTTGGTGCCTAGAGCAGTATCTCACACACAGCAGGGACTCGGCCAGAGTGGGGTGAACTCATACTCAGGGGAGGGGCCTTCACAATCAAGTGCAAAGGAAAGGGCTTAGGTTATGTTACCAAAAAGAGCAAGGTCCAAATCCCAGTCAGCTGGTCCAAATCCCAGCTGTGGCTGAGTTTCTTGGTAAAATAGGAAACAAGTGCCTCTATCTTGCCAGACAATGATAAAGATTAGTGATAATAAATGTAATCTACATAGAACATGGAACATGGAATGCTCCTGATAAATGAAAATTATGTCATTTACTTTTGTCATCATTTAGTTCAATATCTCATTTTAAGCACAGGGAAACTGAGGCCCACAGAGGGTGGGTGACTTGGACAAGGCTGCAGGGTGCTGAGATGAGAACCTAGAATTCCTCACTCCTTACCCACTGCTCTTAAGGGACACGAACCTTATGGCCACTGTGCTCAGTAAAACAAGAATATGGAGGGCTCACAAAACGGTATGTGCCACTCAGAGGACAGGAAGGGGGGGGTCTCCTAGGACAAGGCAAAGGATGTGCAGGTGCAGAATGAAGGATACTGAAGCTCATGACTGGCGTTTCTATGTCTTGTCCATATGCTGTTAAACAAATTATCTATTATATTACTGTACATCCTCCATGGAAATGCCAAGGAATCAATATGGAATTTAGTGCCAGGACAAAACATCCGTCAATGGACAATTACCAGGTTATGCATCCTGTTACATTCCACTGTTTGCTCCGGGAGCCAGGAGACTCAGAACTAAATTAAGTGCTCAACTCTCATCTGGTTTCTGGTACAATTCTCTTCCCTTTTCTTCTACCTGGGAGTTTGTTTCTTTTTACGATTATTGTAATTTCCTGGTGTATATACAGCTTTAATTTGAGGGAAGCGAGTAGGGCCCCACTAGAATAAAGACAACGTGCTTGATGGTAGGTATTTGCCTCGACCCAGAGAGCCCACAGCCAATTAGGGGTATCTGCACTCCTGGCAGCCCAGGATGCCTAGGTCTGAGACTCAGAGGCAAAGACCAGGCCAGGTACGGCTTCCAAGAAGCCCAAATGATCGGAGTGCCAGCAGTACTCCTTGGGCTCACCATTTCCTGTCTGAAGGTCAATGCTACACAGCTCAAACTGCTCCTGAGGGGATATTTGTGTCATCCCCCACAAACTCCCTGTGACGACCCACCACTCCCATCTATCCACCAGCCCACTACGACACCCTGCTGCCCCCATTTATCCAGTGCCCCACCCCGCCGATTAGGGATGCCTTAACGCATCACAGGCCCTTCTCCCACTGCCTCACAGAACCTTCTACCTGAATGTTTCTCAAGACTTACCTACTCCAAGGGACCCCGGACTTGACCTATCTGAGTGCCTCACGAGGCCCTGGACACTACCACCATCTCCTTACACTGGGAGTCGGGGGCCACAGGCTTCAGAGACTTGGTGAGAAATTATAAAATGATCCTAGGCGGCCAGAGGAACTGCTAAAGTTCCCTTAAACAACATGTTTCTCCTGCTGCTAATAGAAGCCCAGAGAGACTCTGAGGGCTGGAGCAACATTTATCATCCCACTGACCAGGGCTCAGGCAAGGTTAGAACTGACTCTACATGGCAGGTAAGCCCACTGCAGCCCTGTCAGAACAGTGGAGCCCGGCAGGGTCGGGAGAACCCACCTTTTCATTGCAGGCCATCTCACAGGGCAGCAGCTGCTTGGTCGGGGAGCCCATGGCCCTTTCCACAAGGCGCACGGACTGCACCAGCTCAGCCAGCTCTCCAGGCTCCAGTGAGGCCGAGTGGTCACTACCCTTCCAGGTCTTGTCCAAAGTTATATGACGCTCCAAAACCTTGGCCCCCAAAGCCACCGCGGCCACAGATATGGCTATGCCTGTTTCATGCCCAGAATACCCTATGGGAATGTCAGGAAAGACCTTCTGATACTCCTTTAAGATAAAAAAAGAAAAGAAGGTTAAGTATGATGGTGCTTTACCCATATCTTCTGGAGTCAGGCCGATCTGGGCTGGAGTTCCAGTGTAGCCACTCACCATTTGTGAGACTACGGGCAAGATACTGAGGCGCTCTGGGCCTCTCCTCACTGGGGATAATGATACCTGTGGAGGGCTGCCCTAAATTCATGAAAAGCACCCAGCACACTGTAAATGCTCAAAAAGTAATGGCTATTGTTATCGAGAATGCATTTTAAGAATGTTTCACCTTCGCAAACCACCGGGAATAACAACAGAGCTATAACCAAATGCCTAAACTCATTCAAAAAGCATCTGTCACATTTAATTAGCCTGAGCTGCTGAAAGCAAGTGTGCTATATGCAAAAATAACATCAATAATATATATACAGCCCAATCTCAAAACAATCCTTCGGTGGAAATGCTAAATAATTAATCTGTTATCTATAATTCACTGAATGCAACAAAAGACATTCTAAGTCAAGTGACTCTTGTCAGTGAGGGTGACCAGAAAGCTTAAGTACAGTAGAAAGACTCAGAAGGGGTTTAATAAAAGGACAGCTGAGTGGCGAAGGCCTTAAAAACCAGGCTTAAGAGTATGTGATGGACAAGGGAATGCAGGTTGCTAGGTTGGGGGATTCAAACTGCTGAAATATGGTAGGCTGGGCCTAAGATGGAGAGGGCTGGCAATTTAATGCTCATTGTGCCCTGGTGTCAAGAGACCAGACGTGAGCGCTCCTTGGGTAGGGACGGAAAGGAAAGGGGGACCAAACTGCACAGAGAAAGACAATCAAGGCAAATATTTGGAGTCACATATACTAAATGTTGATTATGGTAATCTCGGTGGGATGGGATTATAAGAATGTTCACACTTTCTATGTCCTATAATTCAAAGACATTTGAATTTTTAAAAATTATGTTTAAATTTTAAAAATAACCATTTAGAGATAGCTAGAAATAGAGAAAAGACTATTAACTAGGAGAGACAGAAAGTTTAGATAAAATATAACTCAGTTTTCAAAAAAATTTAATTTTTTAAAAAGTTAAATGTGAAGACTGTAGCAACATATACAAAAGCTTACACTATCATAAAAAAAAAAAAGTCAAATACTGTCCTGAAAGAAATATATAAGAGGAAAACTAGTTAACTGCAATGTAAGGATTATATGTATGTATAATGTTTAGAATTACACTAATATTACTATAATGTTTTTGTATGATAATTAAACATAGATACATTTCTAGTTAAGTTTCAGGAGCTGCCAGGGGAACCGATAGAGTTGGCCTGAGACAGTAAGAGACAAAGGATTCTAATCCCAGCTTTTCCACAAAACTGCTGTGAGATCTCAGCCAAGTAAGTTCTTTACCCTTTGGGACTAGAATTCACCATCTGTAAACTGAGTTGGAATAGACAAATCCTGGGAGAGAAAAGGCTCCGTGAAAGTTGTCACTGTATCCAGTTTGAGCCTCAGGAATGCTCAGAATTACAGGTAGAAAATAACAGAGCTGGCAAATAAAACAGAGCAGGAAGAGTCAAAGGTTTCAAGAAAATCAATATGAAGAAAAACAAAAACATATTTGTACACCAGTATCCTAACAGCATTATTCACGATGTCCAAAAGGTGGAAATATCCAACATGTACACTGATGAATGGATAAACAAAATATGGTACATATACACAATGGAATATTACTCAACCTTAAAAAGGAATAAAATGCTGACACTTACTATAACGTGGATGAACTGTAAAGACATGCTAAGTGAAAGAAGATGATACAAAAGGACAAATACTGTATGATTCCACTTATATGAGGTATCCGGAGTAGTCCAATTTATAATGACAGAAAATAGAATGGTGGTTGTCCGGTGTTGGGGGAGGGGAAAATGGGCAGTTAGTGTTTAATGCATTTAGTTTCAGTTTGGGATGATAAAAAAGTTCTGGAGATGGATGATGGTGATGGCGGCACAACAATATGGATGTCCTTAATGCCACTGAACTGTACATCTAAAAATAGTTAGAATGTCATGTAGAATGTCATGTACATTTTACCACACATACAAAAACGACACACTAAGAAAGAAGATGAGCCAGCAATTCACAGAAGAGGGACCTCTAATGGCCAAGATGCATGGGTAAAGAACATGTACATAGATAACTATGAGGACTCTACCTTAAATTTTAAAATGGGCGAAATTAGGATGTTTTAAGAAAATTTAATTTATAATCACCCTCTTTAGAATGTATCTGCTTCCTTAGCTGCATAGTTGGTTCTAATTTGATTCTGTCAAAGGATGTTCAAATTAAGAAGCATGTCAAAGTTGGTTAGAATTTTGGTTGCAAAAAAGGCTACATTTTCCCTGCAGTAAATGACTCAAGAAAAGCCATTTTGCAGTGGCCCAATGAGACAATGGCCCTCTCCCTCCTGCTCACCGAGATGATGCGCAGGTTGACATCCTCAGGCAGGAGTGGGTATGCACTGGTGCACTGGAGGAAGCAGAAATTGGGGTTGAGGGGCTTCACAATCTGATAGACTTGCTTCATGGTGTCCATTGACTGCATCCCGCTGGAGATCACCATGGGGCGGCCTGAGTGACCCAACACCAACACCATCGTCACTTTCTTTTTAGGAGCTCTGACTCTCCCTCAAGCACACCCCAACTGCTGGTCTCATCATTCAACTGAATTCCACAAACATCTCTCACACACTGTGACAGCCACTGTGGAAGAACAGAAGTGAGCTTGGTGGGTTCCTGACCTCAACCATGGTTAATGTAGACTTCCTTCACCCCTCAACATCATTTAGCAGAGTGAAGTGAATTAAGGAGTCAGAGGAATTTCACATTCCTCAGGAAAAGATGAGCATTTCATTGGATTAAGAGGTGTGATAGGGTAAGCATAGACCCCAGATTCAAGAGCATGAGTGAGTGTGAGGCCCAGAGCTGCTACTTACTAGTTATGTGGTCTCAGATACCACATCTATGAAATAAGCACAAAGTATCTTAATCATGTAACCTACTTCAGTCCCAGGGTGGTTGTTAGAATCGAATGATATGACTTGTGTTGTAAAACCACATTACAAATTATAATGTGCATATATTAGACATTATGATATACCTATAGAGTATTTCTCAAAGAGCTTCCTCTAAGAAGTTTTATATATAGTGTCATATTCTTAATTTCATATTTCTAATAAGTTAAAAATAATTTTAAAATTTAAAAATTCATATAACAACTGTGTCATCCTTAACTTCTTCCCTTTCAAGTCAGTACACAAAAAAGTGGAGGTATATGCGGATTACAAAGAGGTTTCTAAAGTCTGTCTTCGTAAGACCCCCTTTACTTGCCAGCAAAGGAGTAAAAACGAAGGTTTGGACTCCTTTAGATTTTATGACAAAAATTAAACACTTACCTTTTTTGGCTGTCTTTTCCAGGTAAGGAAAATTGTTAGTGTCCCCAGATCCAACTTTGAAAAATGGAACATTCAGCTCATGCAGAAACTCAACTGCCATCTACAAAAACCAAAGGAGGTCTTTTTCACTATTGTTCAAAAACACTGCCCTCAAGACAGGCAAGGAGCCACAAACAAACAGAAAAACCCCTCCTCTTACCAGCCAAGGGGGACTCTCAACAACTTGAAAGCAGGCAAAGATTTGTTATCAGTCATTTCATTCAAATCAAACATTCTTTTTTTTTTTTTTTCATAGCCACCCATCCAATACCCAACAAACATTGTGTGCTGGCCTGACCAGCCTACAGAATCCAGAAAAGAATCAGACCCCTGGCCAGAATTTCTTCCCCAGGGGCCCAGAGCCCAATGAACAAATGTAAAAGGGTTATGACCTAATCTTGACCCAGAAAGACAAGCAGGGAAAATGAATGTCCCTCAAAGGCCTTCCCTTATGCAGGGCCAAAAAGCCGGGAAAGAGGCCATTTCAATCCTTGCCAAAAGTGGAAAAAATGGAGCATTTATGGCCCAGCCCTGACACGTGATCTACAGCTGGCAGGACCTATTAAACCCAAGCCCTTTCAAACCTCAAATCAAGCCATCCACAGAAAAAAGAAACCTCAGTAGCTTTTTATTGCGATAACACCACTGGCTGAAGTCAGCTATCTAGAGCATTCCAGCATCCTTATCTGGGATTCATCAATAAGACTCAGGAGATTGACAAGTGTCAACAAGAACTTGTGGAAAGAATCAGCAGAACGCAAGTTTTAAGAGTGAAATCTCAGTTTGCTGTTAAATTACAAGAACCAAAAAACTACCTGTTAATACTATTTTTTAAAAAATTGAAGTTGAAAATCAGAAGTGGGGAGAATCAATGTCTCAGAATGTTCCCAAATATCTAAGTTCTATCCTACAATACTGCCTGAGTTTCCGAAGTGAGTTTGGTAGACTTGATGAGCTAGGTCAGTGCTTCTCACACTCTTAATTCAGGCACACGAATCTCTCAAGGATCTTATTAAAACGAAATGCAAACTGACTGTCAGTCTAGGGTGGAGCCCAAGAGTCTGCATTTCTAATAAGTTCCTGGATAATGCCAAGGCTGCCGCTCTGTGAATCATACTGAGGAACAAAGAGCTAGATTACCATACCTGAATATTCAAAGGGCACAGAGGAGGTAAGGAACAGTAAGAAAATGTCATTCTGCCTCCAGTTTCTTTAAGTCAACCCACTGCGGCCTGAGCTTCCATCCATCTTCCCAGTGGGTGATGAGCTACTCCAATCATGGTGACTGCACTCAGAAAATAATTTTCTTCATACTTAAGCCCTCCACTAATGTACTGGTTAGAGCTGCTGGAGAGCCGTACAGAGTGGCTAACCCGCCAGTAAACAGTTCAAAGGCAGTTTGCAACCCCCTCTGTCCAAGAGACACTGTCCAGTGTGGCCTGAGCGCCACTCACCTCCAAGTGTGCTAAGCTACCTTTGCTGCAGTTCTTGCTGCCTCCTTCATTCTTCTTTATTTCTCCCTCATCT